ATTATACTATACATAAGATTCAGAGAAGAGACTCTTCACAAATCATTGTTGTAATGACCTTGAATTCTCTCCCTATTCTCAAATTAGGGTTATTATTTTGGCTTTTCATTCTGAGAAAGTGACCACATATTTACCTGTTTCCAGTTATCACTGTTCTGCTTGCCTATGCAGGGTAGTTTCACTTGACCTTTGAAAATTAAAATATTCTATCCAAAAAGGAAAAAATTAAAATGTGGTAAAGGTTTTAGCATCAGAATTCAGGGTGATATGAGGACAAAACTGTTGAAATCTGAATAATTCATCATTGAAGTCATCACAAGGTCTAACATGTATGATAAAACTGGTAAGTCTGGAAAATAAGTTAGGATATTAGGAAACCAAGGAATGCTTGATTGATAAATGAGACATACTGCCTTCAGAGTGAAATAATTATTAATTAAAATACAGGGCTTATTTAAGTGGAACTATTGAAATAGAACAAGATAAAAGCTTATCAAAGAGGATGAATCAAAGAAAGATGCCATAAATGTGCTTATGTGATCCAATTAAATATATAGCAGGGCCAGCAGGGCCAACAACCACCATATTGATAATTCAACCAGTAACAAAAGTAAGGATGATTAGTCATGGAAGTTGATCTTGAGATCTCTGAAAGGGCTGATTAGTGTAAACACCAGATGGAATGCAGAAAGCACAAATGTCCTGGTCTCTTCTCTCTCAGAGTCAGTCTCCTCCTGTTATGGGAGTAGTGAGCACCCCAAATTCAAATGGCACTTGACAATGACAGACAGGATTCCCAAAGTGTGTTCTCTGCTTATATACTTTTTAATGTGCTTTTTATGCCACATTGCCTCAATCCTATTTGCATGGGAAAGGTCTGAACAGATTGAAGGGGCTTAGATGAGCAGGGAAAGATTAACGTATGGCATGGCTTTATGCAGCCTAGGTCCTGCATATGAGTACAAGATTATATGTCTTGCTTGTATTTATCTTTGGGCCCTATGCATTCTTTAACTAATGTTAAGGCACACAGTGAAAGAACTGATGGCAGCATTAAACGCATCCTAGAGGGTAGTGAGTCTTATCTAGGATCTACCTGGGGTAGCCAAGGCACTGGAGGAAACTCAATTTGCATCTCACTTCTTCAGGCTTATTGTACTCAGTCAGTGAACTGCTGAAAGAAAAGGAGCTGACATAGGTGCCTGGCCTCAGCAGAAGCTAAATACTGGCCAAAGGAGAATGCCTGTGTATTCCTAAAAGAGAGGAATTGAGCTAAGGAATTTATCCTAAAAATAAATTGAATTTTATTTCCTCAGAATTGATATCAGCAACAATAAGCTAGGTGATTCTAATTTGACACGCTGGGTTGTGTGAAATGTCACTGAATAGTAAAATCACCTGTGGAATGAGGCTTGCGTATCCAACTGTGGCAAAGATCTACCAGGCCTCCAGCTTGGAAGACCCTGTCATAGAATCATAGAATGATTTGCACTGGAAAGGACCACAAAGACTATCTAATTCCAAACCTCCTGCCATGGGCGGGGACACATCCCACTGGATCAGGTTGCTCAAAATTTCCACTAGAAAACTTTCTGTACAAGCATCATGAAGTTGATGTCTACATACCCAGCACTACAAAACCTCTACTGTACCTATCAGTGTTCCAGTAGATTTGGTGTTACCTTACATGTCAAGGAGGTGCTCAGCCCTGCCTGTGCAGTTGGGACTCTGTACTAAAGATACAATAAATCTGATACCTGTATCTCTCACTTGCATTCAGCATGACAAAACATTACCTGCACATGTTCAAAAACTGTGCTCAAGCCCACTAAGACACCGGAGAGGATTGCCAGGCTCCTTGTTTGGAGCTAAAATATCAAGGTACTTAAAAGATAGGTTCTGTAATTTTCAGCCTTTTAAAGCTTATGTTTTTATTTTGATCTGGATTGGTAACAGGGGATTTTGCTTCCTGAGAATTCAGAAAGATGGTGGGATTTCATAAATCCTTTTTCTTGGTAGGAATGCATGACAATGCTCCTTTAAACTTTTATGGAAGACAAAGATTTTATCTGTGTTAACACCATATTCAAACAAGACAAGAATTCCATGAATCCTTATGTTATAGAGTCATGTTTTTTTTTTTTTTTTCTGTCAAAAATATTAAATATTGGTTATAGTGAAACAGTATGCAGTAAATCCAGAGAAGAATGTGATAAATTATTTTGAAATATATGGTTATAGTAAAGACAATAGTAAATGTCAATATTTATTTATTTATTTATTTATTAGTGGTGATAAAAGGTGATACATTCAAAGCTAGCAGATCGAATTAGGTAATAGAAGTTTATTCTTCTTGTTCAAAACCCTTTAGCCTGGATTTACATTTTGGTACCAAAGACCAGTTTTAATCAACTAAGGTGCTTTGGAATGTCAGTAAGTGTGAAAAAAAATAATCATATTTGCAAATTAACATTGGAAAAATCAACTAGACATCATAGCCTCACAGCTGTTCCATTACTCCTAACTACTCACAGAAATCTGTGTGGTTTTCTATGCCAAGTGGAGAAATGCAATTGTTAAATCAACTGACTTCAGAAAGTAGGCTAAGAACATGGTCGTTTGAAACAGTTTTTATGAAATACAAATCTAGGCCTTATTACAGACCAACATAATATTTTCTCCCTTTCTAAACAGATAATGTAGTAACATAATTGAATTATTCCAACTATACAGTTTATGATAAATGAACTGTGGTGAATTATTTACCTATTACAGTTGAGAATAGAAAACATCATAAGCCCAGGGAAGATTCTTCTGCTTTTGTGAATACAGTTGTCGTACACTGAGCAGCACTAACTTTGCATTCACCATAACTGCAGCCAGTACCAACCACAAATATTGAACATACAAAATATCTTTAGTCAACACATGATTCTGACACGACTTTCCTAACTGAAAGAGCACCATAAGAAACTTATGTTTTCCTTGACACCATTTAGAGTAGCAATACATGTATATCCTTTCTCTTTCAGACAGATAAGTGCAAATTCTGGTGAAGAATCCTCACTGTCCAGGGTGACCTTATCGCAGCTTTTCAATTCTTAAAGGGGGTTATAGATAAATGGAGAGCAACTTTTTGCTCAGTCAGATAATATTAGGAAAAGAGGGAATGATTTTAAACTAAAAGAGAGGAGATTTGTATTAGAGGTTAAGAGGAAATTTTTCACTCAGAAGGTGGTGAGGTACTGGCAGAGAAGCTGTGAATGCCCCCTCCCTGGAGGTGTTCAAGGCCAGATTGGACAAGGCCCTGGGCAACGTGGTCTGGTGGGAGGTATCCCTGCCCATGGCAGGGGGGTTGGAACTAGATGATCTCTAAGGTCCTTTCCAACTCAAACTGTACTATGATTCTATGGTTCCATGATTATTCTTCAGCTTTACTAGCTGCTACTGCTGGAATTCACAGAGAAGATACCATGCCATTTATGGTTTTATTGCCAACATCTGAATCCTGCAACAGTCCAACATTCAGAATAGAAACAGCATTGAAGTATTTATTCTTTTAAAATTTCTGTATGAAACATATATCTATTTGCATTACATTGGATATCTTAAAAACATTTGGCCTGAAATCTTATTCTATGATCTGATATTGTTTGCATCAAAACATTAAAGAAAATACTTTAAACATTTGAGCAGTTCTTGGAGGAATGCATCCAATCAGCAGTGATGAAACACTCACTTGAACACCCCTGCTATTCATTGTCTAACTAATCTTACTCAAGATGTACAGCCATGCTCTGAGAAAGTCAGTGAGAAAGCATAAGTTCAAGTTGCAGTGATATAATGCCATACTTATCAACATATCAACAATCACAATGGCACGAGTCAAAGAATCACAGTGCAGACCGGAATTTTTGAGGCAGTTGTATTCAAATGTGATGATGATTAGGACAGTTGCCGTGCAGGATCCAGCATCCAGGATACAGAAGCCACTGAACCATTTATTTGCCTGAACTTTTGTAACTGGAACTGGTCAATTTTTCTCACAGTTTAGGGGCACTCATCCTGCAATGCAACCTACAGTCTCTAGTTAACTGATTCCTTCTTATTTTGACAGAGAGTGACTTGGTCTTACCATACCGAACTAAGCTATCTTCCAAGATGAATAGTAGAGAAGCCCAAGTGTCAAGCTGCATAGATCAATTTATGTTGGAACGATATCTGGAGATCGCCTAATCCTATTCCTTGCTCTATGCATGGCCATTCTTTGATCTAGATTCAAATGATCCACTTATGATGGGGAAGAAGAGAGGGAAAAGGACTTCATTAGAACTATCTCCATTAGTGCCATAACCACAAAATCATAAAGTAAAATGTGAATGTGCTACTATCTCCTGCTGAAATTTCTGGGGTTTCTGTGTTGACTCATATGTATGAAAGATATACTTGGAGCACAATTACTAAAACTGGCACTTCAGGTAAATTAAGTTCAGGGACTCTTAGACTGTTAATATGTGATTGAATAAAATCCGAGAAAGCTAGTAAAAGGTTCGGAGTGGTAAATAAGCAAGTGATCTTGGCTCTGCACCAAACGAGGTATTTTAGAGAAAGAACCCCACTACAGAAAAGATAAACATGGTAGCCTAAGTGTGATTAGCTATGCAGGCTCCCAATTTTTAGAAATAATCGGGGTCCTACTGACTTGCAGATGTCTGTGTGATTAGACAGTTGCTTTAAGACTCACCTTGCTAAACTGCAGTTGTGTTTTATGACTAGTACCTCATACAGGTCAGGACTTCAGTTTCTATGTTACACCTCAGGTTCTCAAGCTTTGTCATGTGAGAATGATGATGTTGCTCTGTCAGGTAACAAGGTTAAAACAGGTGGTATTCTTGCATACCATGATAAGGCATGCTACAATTACGTAAGGGTATATAAACGCCTACTCTGTAGCAGGTGTTGGGGTACTTCCAGGCGATTGTTAATTCTGTGATTGCTGGATATGCTACTATTCTGAAGTAAATAGAAGTTGATAGTCAAGTAAATAGAAGTTGATAGTGACTAAATCCCAGTATAGTAGTACCAAGTAATATGCTAGTAATATAGTACCAAGGCCCTTCTCCACACTTTAATAACCTACATCTATATGGACATACAAGCAGATAGACAGACAGATAGCAAGATAGATTTTTCTTTTTAGGATATATGTTGTTCAATATTGCATGTTCCTACAGGGAAGGAATTCTTTGAAATGCAGTAGTGCTTGCTAAGTGCAAAACGCATAAAATATGCAGGATAGTGCACTTAATTTCTGATAAAAATGGAAGAATGATAGGGAAGGAGTAAATGTCTCACTTCAAACCCAAAGGGACTGTGAATAGGACAGAAGTACAAAAGTAAAGGGGAAAACATATTTTTCCCTCTGGGAAGAAAACAAGGTTTGCTACATCTGATGAATACAGGCCATATCACCTAGTGCACTGCTGAAGCTACTAGGACACCCCTGTCAGCTGAGAAATGGAGAATCCCCAAAACAATAATCCAATAGGTTAAGACCTCAATTAACTTTGTTGTAACTTATATTAAAAAATATATTTTAAAAGTTTGTATTATTAAAATATATTTTAATATAATTTATATTTTATTTTTTTCATATTTTCATATTTTATATTTTAATATATCTTATAATTTAATATAATTATAATTTAATTATATTTTTTACAATATATTTTAATAATATATTTTTTAAACGTTTGTAAAGAGAGAAAATATTTTATTATTAAGAATGTTTGTCTTGTCCACAGTTGTTTTCTGAGACAACCTCCCTTCTCCCAGCTATATGTTCAGTCACATATAGTGTCACATATTTTTCCCTAATTACTGTAGAATGGATGTGATGAGAACTGTAATTAATCTTTAAGTTTCCATGTTGATACTTTAGTATTTTTATCCAAGTTTGTCTCTTGGTCAGGAAATAGCTAACAGTTTTGTATTCGTTTAAACAAACAGTATTTTACTTTTCATTTATTTATAAGCACAACCAGGATAGCTAGCTTTAGTTTGGTAATCCTTGTTTTATAGGTGAAAGTAGAGAATGATCTTAATGCACGAAGCTAATGTATTCTCTTTTTTTTTTTTTTTTTTTTTTTTTCTTTCTTTGAAGATATATATTCTTTGACTTTGTTCTCTGTCTGGCACAGATTTGCTTAACCCTTTTTTTGAGGACAGCTTTAGTAATGAAGATCTGCAACAGTTATTGTCAAATTAGAACAGTCGAGAGGGAAGTGGTAAGTCAGAATGAATTAAAATGATTTCATAGAGCACACAGAAAGCCTTTGTGTCCTAAAGAATGACCGAGTAGATAGAGTATATTTGCTTGCTGATTAAAAACTAACACTAAGCACTCTTGAATGTTCTCTCTCTCCTTTACATTCTCAGTATCAAGTGCTAGGATGTACTCAGCATCAGTGTATAGTTTGGGGAGTTCAAAGCTTGTGTGTATTTTGCTGGTTAGTGTGAATGTTCAATGTTTTACAATTCAGCAATTAAAAATTACTGTCATATTGATTGTATATACATGTATTTTGCCATCACACAGATTTTGTCCCCCTCACTTTCACTTCCCATTATTAGAAACAGTTTCTGTCAGGACAGTGACAAAGATCTGAGTTCAAGTCCTGAGGTCATTTCCTGGAATTTGGCACTAGCCATGGTCAAAGATAAACACTCTCTGAAGTCTTTATGTTGCATGCTACAGTTTCTTGTTTGTTATCTGTGGTATTCGAGGTGCTCCTGGACAGCATCCAAATGCCTAAGAGATGGGTCTTAATCTTAAAATATGGTTTAGGAAGGAAGAATCAAAAGACATTTCTGAGTAAGCCCCATTTTTGTTCACCCTAAAACACAGATGTGAGTAAAACAAGAATTTGAGCTTCAGATAGTTTTGTTCATAATGAAAAATAAAATAAAAAATGATTTGGATATTTTTATTCTTTTTATTCTTATTTTAAGTTTGGAGTATTTTATTTCTTAATCTTTTATTTCCTAGTTTGTCATAGTTGTAATGTACTTTAAACTAGAATAGTCCTAAAAGCCTTGACTCATCTATGTTAGGATCTTTAATAAGTTATTAATATAAGTATTCAGACTATTGGGAGAGCATGTGTACTTTTCAAAATATATTCTCTAACTATCTTACCCTAATTCTCAGTCATAAAATAGCAGTTCTGGATGCATTTCTGCTCTGATGAAGAAATATCTTAAGATAAGCATTAAGTCCTTTGAGATTTGTATGTGTATTTGAGATAACAACACAGTTTAAAAATACTATATATAGCATAATTATATAACAATAAAGAGCAGTTATTATGTATTTGTGTATACCAAATGTATCTAAAAAAACTGCTGGGAAGAAATTTTTCCAATTATCATTCACATACATATATAGAAAAAATATTTTTTCCATTGAAAGCCATCAAAAATTAGAAAATTAAAAGACTACTATAAAAGCTTTGATATATATTAAAATGGCAGCTGAGTTGCTTGTTATATTTGAAAGGAGAAAAAATACAAGATATAAAAAAGACTTTTAGCTCACAGTTAAATCATTTTCTCCCTATTTCAAGATACTATATGTAGTGTATTATTCAGCATTGCTTTCTGAATGTTGGTAGATTTTCCAAGTGCTGAGATTTTCCAAGTACTGCATCTCTGAGGGGAATAATATACAGTTCTGTATTCCTCTTTGTCAAGATGCTCTCCTATAATTTTGTGACTATCTTTTTATGGAAAATGCATTGTAACATACAAGCACAATTTATGATGGGTGTAACTGTGTCTCCACTTTTCACATTATTACTTTCTCATTTCGTAACTATAAATATAGACTGTAATGATATCATCAACCATGCATGAATTACATGAAATTTACTTAATCTTTTTCCATCAGAGAATATGCAATTTGTGTATTTTGATAAACCTTATTTTCCTTGCCAGAGATGAACTATCATTCATTCTCTCATTTTTGCCATAGTTCCAAACTATCATTAATGATTAAATAACACTATTTACATGAAGTTAAAAGGCAAAATCAAAGAAAAACAGAATATAAATCTAGTGTTAGCTAATGCATTAGTTTTTCCCAAGCATGTTTTCAGTACTGTAATTGTCCACAAGAGAAGATTTACATAATATCAATGAGATACATGAACAGAATTATTTTTTAAAGCAAATCTGTACACAGAAGAACAAGACTCAAAAACAAGTGAAGTGGAAATAAAACTTCCCAATACTTATTGATAGTAGACTGTTTCACACCATATCTATTTCAATACTGTTGGGAAGACTTCTCTTTTATTATTTTATATTCTTTACATTTAATTAATATGCTTGTACTTGATGGAAAATAGGAGGTCATTCATGTGGGCAAAGCATAAAGCAATTGTGATGTTGGCTTTTAATTAATTAATTAATTTATTTATTTTTTAATATCAAAGCATAGATAGAAAAGTTAATAAGAAATCTCGCCACAAAAGAAACACCTTCCCCAAACATCTAAATTGAAAAAAAAGGGAAAAAAATCACACCACCATTTTTTGTTTTCTGTTGTTGAAGAAGCTTTAAAATTGCTGTGAACTTTGTGATGTTTTTAAAGGGAACAATAGCTAGCTGTAGTACTAAGTACACCAAAGTTGTCAGTATTTCTATTTACTTGCAAATAATTTCACATATTATTACTTTATTTTATTTTCATTGAGACCTGTTTATTGGAATGTATTTAAAAATTATACTATGCATCACAAAAGGAATATATTTTGTCATGTTATTATAATTATAGGGTGCTTTCTTTCTATTTTAGCTTTTCTGAATATGTACTTATGTTAGCAGATATTTCCTCTTCATTTTCCTATTGTAATATTTATATTTTCCTGTTCGTTCTGTTCTGTGTATAAATCTTAGCATTGCTGTTTCTTGTTTATTTGGCAGTATGTTGTATTCCTCCAAAATCTGTATTTCTAAAAGTTTTTGAAGTTGTTTCTGATAATAGCTGGTAAATATAAAAATATACTTCACTTTCTCTTAATTTCACAGATATCAGACAATCTTTAACAATGTCAACACTTCCTTAGAATGTTCTAAGAACATGTTCTTAGAATGTTCTTCCTTAGATGTTCTTTCAGCTGCTTTGTTCCTTTCATATACTTATTTTTGAAGTTATATATATATATTTTCATAAAAGAGCATATGCCTGTGAATGGAAACTAAAATATATCTCTTACAGAAAATGTAAAGACAAGGGAACACACATGAGAAATATTGTCAACATTTCCATTTCCAACTTCATATCTGTCTCACCAACTGTGCTGTCTCTATCTGAATTGTCAAGACACCAAATTCCAAACAAATAATTTGATAATCACAAAATGACCCGATCTTTCCATTTCCCCCCCCCCCAACCTATTAAAGTTAATTAGTATAATCCTTTTATATATGAACTTACCTCTGCTTTCCTGAACTTGGAGAGCAAGGCAAATGACCAAAAATATTAATCCAGTTTTCAAATGCATGCTGTCTATTGATCATTCACAGTTTTCAAGAATATTCATGCAGGAAATAAGAATGTTGAGGTCAAGTAGAAGATTATTAATTATTATTATTTTTTTTTTCAGCAGTTAAAATCTCCAAATATATTCCCTGGTTTTTTTTTTTTTTTCTTTTTTTTTTCTTTTTTTCTTTGTTATTTCTTCAGGTGTCCTCAGATGTGGGCTGCTTTGAATTGCAAGTAGGTGAAGAGTGGAACAGGTGCCAGAATTCAAGAGCTGGACAAACACCTCCAACGCAAACACTTCTAGCCTGGGGGACTGGAGTGGTAAGACAAGAGTGACAACGTCTTAAAAAAAAGCAGTGTCTGTTTCGGGAATAATCTTTTTATCTGCTGCTCAGACATAATCCCTCTTACGGTCCAGCTGGAAGAGCTTTCTTCATCTTATTAACCTTCTGGAGCAGCATCTGTCAACCCCAGTAGACTTCAGAACTATCACGATAAACAACGGAAGTCTCTTCTAGTGCCCATTGCCTTCAAACACTGTTCATTTGGACATTCCAGAGGTACAGCAAGTGAGCAGAAGTGAAATCATGGGGAAAGATGATTGTGCTATTTCCAAACCTGCGATCACAAAAAACAGGGAAATTCCTTTGAAAAGGAAGAGAGCTTTCTCTGAAAGAACATACTATATTCTGCTTACCCACTACATTTGACCTGGAAGCTCCTCTCCGTCCTCATACCAAAAGGTTGCTGTTGTGATATTTCTATCATAGAATTGATGATGATGTTCTATGACAGCAGGGGAATGATGTGACTCAGCAGTAAATTGCAGCAGTGTTCAGGGCTGGCACAAGTTGATTCCAAATTGGTTGTGGGGGAGGGAAGGTGGTGCATGGAAGGAGAATAAAAAAAAAAAAACAAAAAACAACATGGTGGGAAATGACGTTTCAAGCACACAGCTATAACTGGGCCAAGAACTGGCAGTGAGTGAATACAGTTTTCATATGGTTCTGTTCCAGTTTCCCAAATAACTGTTCCTGTTACATATTTGGAACGTGTAAAAGTGCCATACTTTTTGTTTTCAAGAATGTTTTATAGTGTTTCAACAAACCTAAAAGACTACCAGGAGGGTATTTGTAAATGTCCTGTCTCACTCAGAGATTTCTGTGCAACTGGATTTTAGATTAGGAAATATCTAGACTGGCAGCAACTCTGTTTTCTAGCTCTGTAAATTCAAGTTGTTTTAAGAACAACCTTCATTTGAACCCAATCAGTATTCTATTTTTACTTAGGATTTAAACAATGACAACCTCCCTCCCTTCCTGAGATAGCCTAATTTTAACTACTCAGACCAGCTAATAAAGAGACTGAGCTGAGACCAACAAGGTCTGCTTTTTCTTATTTTCCCAATCTTTTTCTGATTTTCAGTACTCACTGTAATGCTTCATATATGTTGTTTCATTTACATTGTTTTACTGTTCTAACAAAACAAATTAGGAAGACCTTGTCAGTAGCACAACGAAAGCCAGCAGTGGAGATGATCAGGATATATAGCAGAGAAAATTTGAGTATTAAAGCAGGATCATTATTTAGCAGTACCAGTATTCAACTTTATATGTTTTATATATCATAATCAAGTGGTATGTGGTATAGTCATATATGGACTACCTCAATGATCCACATAATCTTTAGCACTCATTTATAAGCATGTTACAGTTGAACGATGGAAGTTCCCCTAACATATTATCTCGTTGATTGCTTCAGGTCTGGATCTGCAACTTTTGGAAGCACAGGAAATTTTTCTTATGGTAGTGGAATCCACTGCTTCTAGCACCATCTTCTGAAAGTGCAGGGTCGGCATTTCTGGAAATCACAGGCCATTTCTTCAGAGAAGCCTAGGTACAAAACTTCCTATGGAATTTGGTAGGAATGTGATCCATTAATTCCATTAGGAATCTAATTTAAGCATTGGACTGAATTTTAAAAAGTGCAATAAAGAGATTTACTTAATTACTATGCAGAGTTAGTGGAGTCTGAAGCAAGAATCAGAAATCCTTTCATTTAGAAATGTTGAGTGAGCCCTTCTCATATAGGAGAAGACACACATTTAATAAAACATGCTTTGTATCTTTCAGAGAATTTAAAATAAACATGTGCAGGAACAATACTAGAAGATACCACACTGTTGTTTAGTGTCAAGGTATGACTTTTGGAAAATATTAAGCTCCATGGGTAAACATTGACTAAAAGTTGTAGGGTGGGAATGTGCATACATTGGGATGCTGCTTAAGTGATGAATATTTCAAGCTGTTTTCTGTTCAGGAAGTGTCTTCTATGTATTTCCATTTAATTAAGATTTTTTTTTTTTTTTTTTTTTTAACTAACCTTGATAACTGGTACAGCAGAAACAAACAAGAATGATAAACACTCATTAAAGCTAAAGCAATATTATCTAGGGACCACTCCATCTCTAAGTGCTGTGGTGTTTAATTATAGGTCACTGTTAATTAATCTAGAAGCATTTCTTCTATTTGGTTTGCTGTCAACAATAATTATATATTCTTAAAGAGGCAATTAAAAAAAATCAACTGAAATTCAATAGTGCAGTACAAATACACTACCAAGACATGGGAAAGGCAAAACTGTATACTAAAATATCCATTCATCCAAGATAAGTGCTCTTAAATGTTTTAAATCAGACCTGTTAATGGTCAACTCAATGAATCACTGCACATATCTAAAATGATATGCTGACATGTTGTTTAAATATAACAAAAGCTGTTTCCTTTGTTTGCAAAAAAAATAGCAATTTAGGCCATTGAGAACCATGTTTTGAAGATGTTTTATGTAAATGGTGGGCAAGACTGAGGTTCAAGATGTTGCCACATAGAGATGATCTAAAAGTAGTTATGTATAGTGCTGAATTTTAGGTACCCTACTTAGGTATGGAAATCAGGGTGCCAGCTAACTCAAGTGCCAATGCAAACAAGACAGATTTTCTCTTCCAAACAGCACTCTAAATCATCTAAGTTTGTGTTCTAGTTTTAGATGTTCTGAGTCATTACTCCTTCTGGTCAAGCAAATTTTTTTACTTATAATTTCCATGATGCATTTCCCTGAGAAACTTGCCTAACCACAAAGAAGGGTAGATCTGTACTTATGAAGTAGTTTTTAAATAATCCCAAGTCTTTCCCTGCCTCTGTAGGAGCCAGACTGGAATCCTGCAACTGCTATGCATTAGACTTTTGTAGGCTTTTGATTAAAACTGAGGAAATGCAGTTTCCTCAGTTCTTCAGAAGGGTTCCTCTGCACCCTTCTTTGCTACTGAGTTTGGCCAAACCAAGCCTTGTCTCTCAAACTCTGTATCTGCAAATGGAAGGGATGAAATTGGAGAGCTAGAAATGCATCTGCAGGAACAAACAAGAAACTAGATGTAAGAAAGATTTTTTTTTCCCCTTTCTCATGCAATTAAAATGTTGATGAAATATTTCACAAATAAAAGTATTCTTTTAAATTAAAAACAAAGCGCTGAATTGTTATTTTATTTTTCAGATATTCTAGTTTCCATATGAAAGTTAGGCATCAGTACTACTCATCTAATGAGTTTGTTGTGAAGAAAACAAGTAGTCTATTTGTTAAACTTTTCCAGTTGGGTAGTATTTGTATTTTTCCCACGACTGCTGCCCAGCCATTGTGTTTTCTTTTTCTTCCTGAACTAATGTAAAACTTATATTTAGTGAGTAAGTAAACAAGACAAAACAAAAATACAACAACAACAACAACAAAACAACAACATAAACCCACTGGCTCTCAGGAAGGTAAAAAAAAATAATCTTATGTTTTGTTAAATGTTTTTCTTTGTATTTCTTAGACAATTCCTCTTTCTCATGTCTCTCCTTAGTAGCAGAGACCAAATAAGATCACATAAAAGAAAGATATTTTGACACTAAGAAATGATATTTTCTGTCTGAAAGAAGCTATCAGTGCCCAGATATTTTTCTTGCAAATGTCCTCTTGCTTTTCAGATCAATGGTTCTTTAAAACCCATTTCATCTGGAAATTCCTTCATTGTCCCCTCAAAACTGAACTTGGCCGGTGTATCCTGGAAGACAGTCACACAACTCCCTTTGCTGGTGGCCATACACAGTGATAACACTAGATAATACATTGAAATTCCTACCTCCATTTCTATTGGGGTGTCAGTAATGCAGCAAATGCTGTGGAAATTAAGTTAGTTGTTAGTTTGAGTAAATGCCAAATTGGAGTAATAATTTAGTTTTGATTAAAGCTGTGAATTATATAGGAAGAAATAGCCAAGAAAAATATCGGTGATCCAAGGAAATCAAAAGAAAATCAGAGGTTAAAGTTCTGGGTTTCTGGGTTGTGCAACTGACTCATTAAAACAGCCTGTATACCAAAGGAAAGAGTTTTTGGAAAGATTTTGGTACGTACCTGGAGAACAATATCTCAGCAATTCTAGCTTCAGTACTAGGCAAATTGATATAATTCATAACAAAATAAGTAAGTATGATAGCAAGAATAATTTGGTTGATACAATGTTTTTGGATATCCGACAGTTTTTAAGCTGTCTACCCTTAAAAAACTCAATTGTCATGGAATAAAAAAAAAAAAAAAGAAAAAAAATATTCTGTATTAACAGCTTGTTATAAAATGAGAACTAATGGAAAGAAGCAAGCATTTCATTAGCTAGGTGTTACCATTAGGTTTTAAACTGGAAGCGGAGGGACAAGTAATATGATGACAAAATTTGCTGGTGGTACAGAATAGTTCAGAATCATTAAAATTTTGATTTCAGTAATAGTGAAAAGATACAGATCTGTGTCCTGATGCTGAATGTGAATAACTAAGCTGCAGAATGGTTTCCATGTACTGTGAATGTTACATAGGCTAGAAGTCTTTGGCCTGAAAGAGAGATGACAGAGAGGTAGAGAAGATGATTACAGTCATTTAGGTTTTCTCATAATATGAAAACTGGAAAATTCCCAGATTAATTTTCTGTTATCTATTTCTGCCTTGTTCCTGAGCCTTTTCTGTTGGACTCAGCAGCTTATCGGGACAATACATTTTCCAAAGTACTTATTTGTATTTTTGAAATATTTACTTTCTTTATATAAAAATAAGAAGGAATTCAAGAAATTTGTGAATGGTCATCATGAAGTGGGATACATATGCTGTTCCCATTTCAGTCTCTTGCACAAAGTCCATTAATCAGTGTCAAACACTGCAAGGGCAAGCTAGGAACTGGAAAATTTTATGCTTGCCTGTTTCTTATATTCTTTCCCAATCCATCTGCTATTGGCCATAAATGTAGATAGAAGAGATAGAAGATTAACTGGGTCATTGATCTGGTCCAACATGGCTACTGATAGACACTGAGCTGTCCCTAACCCAGACTACTCTGCCATTAACATCAAGCTTAACATCAAGGAGTTATAACAACTCCTGCTCATACTAAATGGTGCAACAGCCTGGTCTTTTTCCTATGATAAACACCTTTCTCCTCCAAGGTGAGGAGCCTGATACTTTGCTCTGCAGTCTCAGCAAACTCTGTGGAAACCCATTCTGAACACAAAGCTGAAGCAGGTGATGGATTAATGCAGTTGTCTGTCTCCTTTCAGGAACATACTAGTATAACTCTTCTGTAATCAAAAGATATCCCTAACATTCTCTAGGGTCTTTAAAAGGCTTTGCTGTTTTGCCATTGCTGACACAGTTAAGTAGTGCTAGCACCTCTTACTATTTAGAATGGGAACAAATGCTGTGGGCATATGTTTTCATGAGAGTTACAGGCACATCCCTGACAACTGCTTGACACCATCATCAGTGCTTTCTTATAAAGCTTTTTATGCTGTACACTGTTAAAATGATTAATGAATTTAGATGCTGTTTCATGTGATAAGGGAAAATGTGTAGTATTAACCAAGTAATTCAACATAATAACGAGAAAAATACTACAGTCAGCTGTTTCAGGATGATCTCTGATAAATTATGCTTATGTTATTAGTTACATGATCTTCCTTTGCTATCAATAAACATCTAAAAGGGATTATTATTATTATCATTACTATTATTATTATTTCTAGTTGGCAGTGACACAGCAAGCTGACCATTAGCTTCCAGTCAGTAGAGATAAAGTACATCCGCTCAGACAGATTAACACGTAGTTACTTGCATATCCATACACAACTTTCTGTTATTCCTGGAACTGCTTAGGTTTGTATCATGGGGGGTTGTATTGAGCTGAAACATGTTTCTTCCAAATTGTTTTCCTCTTAATGCTTAGAAAGAATATTTGTTTTAGCTATTAGCTAAATCTAGAGTTAGTTGATGGACTCACTGCTCACAAAACAGTCCTGGGCAGTGTAGCAAATTAAATTGAATACTGCAGTTACCAGTTATAAAAAACTAAAATTACCAAATGTGTTTCTCTATGTGAAGCAGAGATGTGGCCTTTTAAAATACATATTGTCTAAACAGAAGCAGGAAAGACATGATTAGCTGGTAGCTCCACTTCATTTTATGACAATTTGAAGAAGATGTTTAATAGTGAACAAGAAAGCAAGAAGTGAAAATATGAAGTGTTTGGTGTGCTTGAATCCCCATACTAGCTTAGTTTTTCCTCTGTGAGAAATTTGGTACTTTACTGCTGAGTCTAACACTCTAACACTGTTCTTTTGTTTTCTTTCAGGTTTTTTTTTTTTTTTTTTTTTTTTTTTTCCCCAGCTATTCCTCATCATGCACAACAGCTGCACCAGTTCATCAGTATTTTAGTTTTTAAATTTACCTGAAGAAACGGTCTTACAGAAAAGCTAGTATGTGCACCAGTGTTGTGTGACACTTAAACTGTTGAGAGAAGAAAAACTTAAACCTAACCAGAAAAATAATGTGTAACAATGTCTATGAAATTATTTTTTTTTTTTTTTTTTTTTTTTTGGTGGAAGCTATACTGTGCTAAGGTTAAATGTTCTGGTAACAATTTCTTACTCTCCTTTTTCAGATGAGTGTTGCTTTTTTTTTTTTTTTTTTTTTTTCTTTCCAGCAAGGAACAGGTTTGGACCTGTTCTGACAGTCAGCACGACTTTTTTGGTCCTGACCATAGCCCAAACTTCCTGATCTACACATGTGATGATGACTGTCATTAACTAAGTTTAACTGTAGCAAGTGTAAATATCTGAACTTCACTCCAAGATTTTCTTAACAAAATGCAAGAAACTGGAAGTAGTTTTGAGGTTGCATTGAACTATGCCTGGCAAGCTTTGGAGAAATTTTTAAGTAACTTAAACACTGCTGTTATCTGTATTATTTGTCTTTTTGCTTCAGTTACTTTCAGTAATACACCAAGCAAATTGACTTTACATGTCCTGGCCTATCATCTAAATAAGCTTATTTTATGTTTTTGAAGGATTTCTCTCTCTTCTCTATGCAGCTGACAGTATCATACATGTCATTGCTTAGATCATGCATTCTGTGTCTGTACAGATTTTTTTTTCCTTGTATCATTAGTCACCTTGTTTTAAAATGTTCAATAAAGTTGTAGTATCATTTTACATTCTTTCCAAATGTCTCTGTGGCAGCTGGGCCTAATTCTGCATCTCACTGCTACATTAGAATCAAAGAATCGCAGAATATCCTGAGATGGATGGGACACTCAAAGATCATCGAGTCCAGCTCCTGCCTCCACACAGGACCACCCAAAACCGTCTGTCTGAGAGAGTTGTCCAAACACTGCTTGAACTTTGGAAGGCTTGGTGCCATGACCACTGCCTTGGGGAGCCTATTCCAGTGCCTGACCATCCTTTTGGAAACGTAGCTGATGCAGGCTACTGACAAAGAGATGTTTGTACTAGTTCTTTCAAACCATGTTATGATTCTCATTTGTATTGTTCAGCTGCCCTTTCTCATTTTGATATTTTGTTATTGGTAAACTTTAAGGAGAATAAACAATAGATAAGCTCTTATTCATTGTACATTCCAAAGAGAAAAAAAAAAGGTTTGACTAATTTCTGTGAAAAGTAAGGTATATTTTTATTATTTCTGAAAGTTGTAATTTTGAAGTCATTCTCATGTTTAAATATTGCTTTTTCATTTTCATTAAACAGCTTGAGAATTTGTCATATATTATTTAGTCAGGTTGTGACCTTGCTTTTCTATGAAGTTGCTGATTGCCATTAATTTTTCTTTCTTACAGATTTTTTTTTCTAGAAGCGTTTTCAGTTTCAGTGTACTAGTCTAAAGGGTGAAATGTATTATACATGCACTACTGTACATGCTGAGTACTTCTGGGATGTTTAACTTTGAGAAGAGATGACTCAGGGGGATCTTAACAACATTTTTTTAAGTGAGTGATGGGAAGGGGTAAAAGAAACAGAACAAACTTCTTTGTGATGTCTCTTGAAAGGATAGGAGGCAATGAGCACAAACTAAAATGCAAGAAATTTTGTTTAAACATTTAAGCATACATTTTTACATATAAGGGTGATTGAACCCTGGAACAGGTGCTATTCAGAGAGGTTGTAAAGTCTCTGTTCTTGAAAATATTCAAAATCCAACTGGATGTGGTCCTCAGCAACCTGTTCTGACTGACCTGGATCTTAATGTGTGGTTAGACTAGATGACATCCAACGTCCCTTCCTACTTTATCCATTTTGAGGATGTATAATTCTCTAACAGTAAGTGAACAGAAACAACTGTAAATGAACATGTAACTTTTTCAGATTTGTTTCAACACCATTTTAGCCTGCTATATGTCCTCTACAAGCCACATTTATCTTTGAACAGTATTTTCAATGTGATTCTTTGATGTGGCCAATACATTTACACACAAATATTTTAAAGTCTAACCTACACAGAACAAGAATTTACTCAATGTACAGTTAGGAGTATATTATGTATAGAAATCTGAAATTATATTTTAAAGAAAGAAAATTTTAGATTAAGAAAAACAATAAATTCTAGAATTTGTTCATTTCTGAAACAGAATGTTGGGGTCTGGCAAAAGTTCCTTTGTGTTAGAAATGGTGTCAATCACATATTCAGGTTTGTATTTTAAAATCATACTTCTTATCAGTGATTGCTAAAGTAGGCTTCAATTATTCAAGGTACACTGTATAAATGTTCAGTTAAAGATGACTCATTCTCAGTAAAAGAGCACACAGGATTGGCCAAAGTAGGACAGGAGTTCAAAAATGTTTTCACAGTATAAGCAGGATCAATTGTGGTTGTTAATTCCAGTTTATAACCTGTATCCTTCAGTTAGGGTGCTGTTACCCTCTGCATAGCATTGACATTGCATATGAATGGCAGGAAGGGAGAATCTGCATCAGGAAATCTGTTGTTCCTGGATGAGGTCCTGTTCCTTCTCCTTCAGTCCAGAATTAATCCTAAATTAACCCTTCAATTTTTCTCCGATCTATTTTTACACATATATATATATACATGTATATACACATATTAATTTACATTCCACATCTCCTTATTTCATTCTACTTCTTTCTGCAGTTTTCTCATCTTCTTCATGTCTTTGACCTGAAAGTGCTTTCCAGCCCACCACTGTGTGTTATTTTGGAAACTAAGAATGGAGGATTACTGTGGGGTTTAACTGCTACTCCTGGTTG